ATAGTTCAATAGCAACTGGAGGACCCACCCCACCAATTCTATGAACAGGTTCCCCACTTTGATCTAATCCACGGACATCATCATCAGGGTGTGTTGCACAAACCAATGTTACATAATTCAATTTATTTTTTATATTGTTATTATAAGCTGCCACAAATTGAGATGTAAAAGGCAGATCCATTAAATCAAGAACAGATCCTCATGATTTCATATGATTTTTAGGGGGCGATCGTTGCAAAACCACCATCAAATCATAGATCCCATCTATGTCCACAAACCACACTATGGATCCTTTAGCACGTGGCTTTCCAGTGGCACATAAATATGGATTTGTGGCATAAAGCTTCATGGATCCACATGACTGTTATGTAGGATCCTCCAGAAACCACTCTCTACAATCATACACCTCTTCTATGCCCAAAGACTACAACCCTGAAAACATGGGTCCATCAGCGCATGAGATAAAGTGGACCAGGAGGGATTGATACCTGCCTCGAGTGATTTCTGTGTTGTACTCTGTGGGCACAGATAGGAGCTATGAAATGACACTGGCTTAGAGAGGACTCAATCTAAAAATCATATGAAATCATGTGGATCCATGCCTTGAATCCAAGGTTTTGCACCACTGCAAAGCCATGTGCCAAAATTTCTGAAACTACGTATTTTTAGAGTCTGTGTAAATCTAGAGTGCAGCATTGAAATACTGCACTACAGTAATGTCAAAAACCTCGAATTTCCATTACATGGCAATGATGTACAGCCATCAAGATAAAGACCACGTTAAGGCCTCTTTTTTACCTATACTACGAATTACCTACACAGAGATCATTCCCTACACTGCCCTTCTACACAAACCACCCACGTAGAGAAAAACAGCACAAACCATTCTGGCTGTCCTTACTGCTGTAATAAAACTCCCAGTTCCTTCTTCTTCATAAACTTTGCTAAGAACCATTAAGCAAGCAAGCCCAACCTCTGATTACACGAACTACAGGCTGAGGGGCATGCAGGCACTCTGTAGCCTCTGGGATGTTGGTGTACTTTCCTTCTCTCCCATCTGTCGCTCTTTGTTAATGCAGGAGAATTGAAGCTGCCGGGTATTTTTCCTGGAAGTCTTGGCCACATCCCCTCTCAGGGCGTCTTGTGTTCTCTTCTTTTCTGTCTAGACTGCTGCTTATCTAGCTGGGTTTTACGTGAGAGACTGAGTCTTTGGAGCTGAGCTGCGTGTGACTGACTCAGGGAAAACAAGGTGGGGGAGGAGGGAAGGGGGAGAAAGGAGTGCAGGAGTTCTGTGTTTGGGGGGGGGAATGGATCATACGTCACCTATGCGTCTACTGAAGCATAACATTCACAGGTATTTGGATCTAAGGCATGGATTTTCCAGGACACATACTGCACATTCCATTAGAGCATCCTTTTATTTAAACAGGCACAAATACAATATTTCTGCATCTTTTGCTTCATGATACCAGCATGGAATAAGAAAAGGGAGCTCAGGCACATATCTTCATAGGTCCATCTGTTGTTGTTTTTTTCATTGCCACATATGCTAAAACACCACCTTAATCACAATCAGGTCAAACATATCATGCATGTCCCTAGTTGTTCTTGTTTAGTCGTTTAGTCGTATCCGACTCTTCGTGACCCCATGGACCAGAGCACACCAGGCCCTCCTGTCTTCCAGTGCCTTCTGGGGTTTGGTCAAATTCATGCTGGTCGCTTCAATGACACTGTCCAGCCATCTCGTCTTCAGTTGTTCCCTTCTCCTCTTGCCTTCACACTTTCCCAACATCAGGGGCTTTTCCAGGGAGTCTTCTCTTCTCATGTCCCTAGACTAACCCATAAAAACCCATGCATATCTATGTCTCTGATACATGTATTTGTGCCAAAGCAATGCCATGCAGTGAGGAAATCAAATTTTATGTCCCAAGACTAACCCATAAAAATTTGTTTCCTCATTGCATGGCATTGCTTTGGCACAAATAAATGTATTGGAGGCATAGATATGCATGGATCCATATGATGCTTACATGGGATCCTTCCCAAACCACCACAATTTGTATATCTTTCATATATGCACAGTGATTTTAAAAAAGACATAGCTTCCTAACTGCAAGTGCACCATGGTACAAGAACATGGAGATCATCAAGGATCTATATGAATCTTACATGGAATACCTACTAAACCACCATCCAGTCACAGATCTCATCTGTGTCCACAGCAAAAAAAAAAAAAAAACTTGAAAAAAAACTGATCTCTGATATCAGCATTGTGCAAATATCCGGATCCGAGACTTTGGTTCATTAGATGACTAATGAATCCAAAACACAGGCCTTTATTGCTCTATATAATTGTTATATGATGTTCCCATGTAAATACAGGTAAAATCCTCCTTGCTTCCAGGCCACGTTCAAGATGCTTATGTTGACATATAAAGCCCTTAATGGTTTAGGACCTTGCTACCTGCCTGGCCTCACCACTAGTAGGGCAGGATGGACAGAGAGACAGACAAACAGACAGACAGATAGAATCAATTGATTGATCAATCAATCAAATCAATCAATAGATATTGTGGAGCCATCTGTTCTCATAGAGTGAAGCATAAGACACTTACTGCACAGGATAATTATGATGCAAAAAAACCCCCAACCCCCCAAAAAATCTACTTTGCTCCTGCCATCTGTCAAAAAGACAACAACCCACCCACCCCCCAAAAAATCTACTTTGTTCCTGCCATCTGTCAAAAAGAGAACACTCCTGAGTTGAATGCAATTGAGATCCCCCCCCAAACTATCATCAAGTCATACATCCCAACTCCCGAGTTGAATGCAATTGAGATCCTCCCCAAACTATCATCAAGTCATACATCCCATCTTTGCCAATAGACTGAACCATCAAAATCCCAAATTGCCAGATAATCCTAGTACCATGGCCCATGAACATGGGTCCTGGGTAGAGATGGATATGAAGGACCGAAATGACACTTCGTTTTGGCTCGTGGACCATTGAACTTGATAACCACGAATTGACCCCCAGTGGCCCGACTCACTTCATCAATTCGTCCAGTCATATATATGGGTCCTCTTTCCTCCTCTTCCTATGCCCCTACAGCATAGGAAGAGGAGGGAAGGGATCAAAGAGATTCCCCCAGCCCCACTCCCTTTGCAAAGGAAAGCAGGAAGGCTTGAGTCCAGCTATCCCTCCTCATGCATAGTCCCACTATGCCCCCAACAGCATAGGAAGAGGAGGGAAGGGATCAAAGCAACCCCCTGCCCCACTACCTTTGCAAAGACAGCAGGGCTGGAGGATCACTTAGATCAGGCTACACTCCTCTTCCTATCTCTGTCAGGGCATAGGAAGAGGTGCAAAGGGGGACCCAAGAGATCCCCAACCCCCACTGCCTTTGCAAAGGCTGCGAGGCTGGGGGATCACTTTGATCCCTTACCTCTTCCTATGCCGTGTGGGCATAGGAAGAGGAGGAAAGAGGACCTGAGTCATCCCCCAGCCCCAAGGGTGGGATTCCCTTCCAGCAGGCTTTAGCAAGCCGCGGGAAGGGAAAATCCCTCTCTGCTTATGTCCCCAAGGAACAGCTGATCCGTGGGAGCATAAGCAGATAGCAAACGAAGGGACAAATATAAAAGGGTTAAATTCGTTGCTTCATATTAATCAGGGGCTCTGGACGAAGCAACGAATATCTGACAAATCAGAGATATTCACTGACTATCCTGATTGTTTTTTATATTCGTCCCCATGTCTAGTGCTCGGCAAAGATTAATGACGGCCAACATGTTCTTTATGTAACACTCATGGTCATCTTTATGCTCAAAGAATAAACTACTGGAACCATTGCCCTTATACTTTCCTTCAGCACTAGAGTGAGAAGAAAAACATAAAACCCATGGCAAGAATCTTCTTGGATCCTCTATTTCTTTAGAGAGAGCAGCCATAACCATGCTGAATCACTGAACACTTTTCTGGCAATAGACTTGGAGATGATCTGATGTAAAAATCATGTGGATCCATGCTTGGAATTGATAGTTTTGCACCATGCCTCTCTCATGCACTGAGAGAGGCATGAGAATCTATGCTGTAGTAGTATGTAAAAAATCTATGATCGGAGAGTGGTCTGGGTATGGTCTCACATAAAAAATCATATGGATCCATGAGGATCCGTGGATTGGTTTGGTGCTTTTGCACCAGTGCAAAGCCATGTGCTGGTGGCCCATGATTTCTGTAGTATAGTCTGTGGCCACGGATTGGTCCTGTAATTAGACAGTGGTTTCGGGATGATCCTGTGTAAAAATTGTGTGATTCCATGATGATCCATGTGTCAGATCCATGTTTTTGGCAAGGATGCCATGAAGAAACCTTTTGAAATCATGATTCGTTTTTGATTTCATGGATCCACCCAGTGCCCACAAATTATAGAATTTTGTTAGAATTGTTCATGTTCTCTGCTACATGAATGCAAATAGGAAGAGATTTATTTTGTGAAATTGTGTTTGCAAGAGTCATCGATAGAAAGCAAATAACCCCATAGTACTTTAAAGTGTTTCAAGTACATTTTTATACAAGTTGGTTGTCACTTTTTCTCACTGATTTCTCTTTCATTTCCAGTAAATACAAACACCTGTCCTATACAGTGAATCAAATTACTGTCTACCAGGGTGTGCTTGGTTGGCTGTATCATTCTGATGAGAATTTTACCACATAGCAACCATTTGCTGGAGATCCTGCCCCCAGCTGGAGATCTCTGTTGGGGATTGGGAGGGAAATGGCCTGTGGAACTCACTTCAGTGCAAACAGGCAGGATTGTGCTGCACAATCCACCCAGTTCCCCCTCAAATTAAGCACTAGTATTTCTAACCTTTTTCCTACAAAGATGAGAGAAGAGCAGTGGAAGGCAAGACAGCTGCCAACTTTAGGTTTTAAAATATCTCTCTGTCAAAGCTCTAATGTTTTTGACAGCTGAAAAATTACATTAAGTCCTGTGAATTCGTCCCCACTATAGAGTTGCAGTAATGATGTGGTAGGTGCTTCTGTCGCATCTACTGGGATCTGCTGGGAGCATAGGAGCATGGTCAGTAAGCGGAGAGTTGGCAGCTTTAGAGGAAAGGAGTCCAGTTGATCGTCCTTTATTTGCATTTCTCTTTGTGAGGTGGTACCAAGGGGAGGATAAGGAAGCAAAATTCAATGCAGGAAGTAAAAGTGATGGTTGCACGAGAAGGCAAACAAGCCACTGGCCTTTGCAGCGAGGAGAAGGTGAGTAGCGATCCCTGCAGAACTGGGTCAGAGAGGGTCTCCTCCCGCCACCTCCAGGGCACCACTCCCTCCCCACGCCCGCGCCCCCAAAGTGAGGGAGGAGGGGAAGGTTGCGGGGAGAAGGCAGGTCTGCCGGCTTCTTTGGCACAGCCCAGGCGGGATCTTGGGAAAATTACTGGGGGTGGGGGGGGGAGAAGGGGCTACAGCTCCCAGAATTGTCGACCGGCCGCGCGGTCTGAGGGATTCCGGGGAAAGTGACGGGGTCGCGGGTCCCAGAACCAGGGCCAAGGCGGCACCGGGAGGAAGGAATATGGCTGCTCTCCAACCCTCCTCCTCCCCCCGTCTGCGCTCCGGGAGCAGGTGAGCAAGTGAACCGGGGGGGGTGGTGACCGGCTGCCTCCCCTCGGGTGCTCTCGGCCACTGAACGCCTCCGCTCTCGCGAGGAGGAGCCCTGGAAGGCTGCCCCTCCCAACCCCAAAAAGTTCCCCGAATGGGTCCAGCCCCGGTTCTGTCGGGGAGGAGGGCGAAGCTTGAGAGCGCCGCAGAAGGCAGCCCCCTGCTCCCGACCTGCCGGCCGCCAAGTGTGGTCGTGTTGGCGGAGGAACCCGCTCCTCCAGAGAGAGCCCGACGTGGGTGAGGAGAAAGGCCGGGGGCGGCTGCTCCTTACTTGCCGCCTTCCCCGCTCGAGAACGCGAGAGGCGGGCGGGCAGGCAGGCAGGCAAGCAAGCGGGGGCGCCCAGCAGGTGCCCCATCCGGATCCGAGGCGGTCGCCTCGGGCAGGCGAGGTGCAAGCAGCGGCCCTTGCCCGGAGCCCTTCCAGGGGCGCTCAGTGCTGGGGAGGAACTGTAGTAGAAGATAACGCCGGGACCGTCCCAGGCACCGGGTGCCATTAAGAGAAAGGCGCCTCTTCCACAGACCTCGTCAGGCTCTTCGCTGCCCAGATACGCTCAGCGGTGGGGAGGGAGGGGAGGGAAAGAGAAACACCGCTGGCCCCTTCGGCTCAGTCGTCGCTGCTGTCTACCCACGGAGAGGAGGGCCAGTCTCCGCTCGAGACCTTCCTGCTTGGGCGGCAAACCCGATATTGCCCATCCTGCAGGTCCGTCCTTTTCCCGGGTTGGAAAGAGGCAAGGCAGAGGGAGAGGTCTAGCGGCTCCCCTCTCAAAGGTGGGTGAAGACGGAGGCCCGCCAAGGAAGGCCGGCCTTTTGCTCCTGACCCCCAACCCTCGGAACCGGCCCCCCCGGTGCCCCTTGCGGGTCTGGAAGGGGCTCCCGGCGGCGGCGGGGGGAGAGGGGCAGCGCCTTTTCGCCCAAAGAGGGCAGCTCCGCGGCCCCTTTAAGCCGGGCTGGGCCCGAGAGCGCCCGCCTTGCCTGCGTCAGCCGAGCCGAGCGCCGGGACTGGCGGGCTGTGCCTCGGAAGCAAGCCCCGCTGCCGGTGGATTGCAATGGCTCCTGCTTCCGAGGCACGCGACCCGGAGGCCCCCGCGCTCCCGCCGTGGCGCCCCCAGATCCTGGCCGTGATCTGAAATCTGGCTGAAAAGGGGCTGACTTCCGGGAGTTTTGCTGCCCCTTCCCGTGGGCGCCGGCGGACCTCTGGAGGAAGAGTGGATTCCTTCTTCGGCCTCCCACCTCTTTCCTTCTCCTTTCCGCCATGAACAGAGTCCAGCTGAAGCGATCAGCGATCCTTAAGATGGCCCTCGGCGGCTCCTCGGAGCCTCTCTTGCAGCAGGAGGAGCCGGACGAGGACAGCGGCGGCGGCAGCAGCAGCAGCCAGGAGCCTCCGTTCCTCTTCCGAGCCCTCCGGATCGCCACGGTGGTCTCGCTGTACTGGTTCATCTCCATCACCAGGACGAGGACAGCGGCGGCGGCAGCATCAGCAGCAGCCAGGAGCCTCCGTTCCTCTTCCGAGCCCTCCGGATCGCCACGGTGGTCTCGCTGTACTGGTTCATCTCCATCACCATGGTCTTCCTCAACAAGTACCTGCTGGGCAGCCCTTCGCTGCGCCTGGACGCCCCGCTCTTCGTCACTTTCTACCAGTGCCTGGTCACCGTCCTCCTTTGCAAAGCTCTGAGCCTGCTGGCCTCCTGCTGCCCGCCGGGCTACGTGGATTTCCCCTCCATCCGCATGGACCTCAAGGTGTCCCGCAGCGTCCTGCCCCTCTCGGTGGTCTTCATCGGCATGATCACCTTCAACAACCTGTGCCTCAAGTACGTCGGCGTGGCCTTCTACAACGTGGGCCGCTCCCTCACGACGGTCTTCAATGTGCTGCTCTCTTACGGGCTGCTCAAGCAAACCACCTCCCTCTATGCGCTTATGGCCTGCGGAGTCATCATCGGTGGGTAGCGCCGCCTTGGTGGCCAGACTAGAGCCTGCTCTGCTGGCGGTTATGGGATGCCCTGCCTTTTAGCTTGAGGCAGCCTGCAAGGCCTGGCTGGATACTCACTCTCTCTCTCTCTCTCTCTCTCTCTCTCTCTCTCTCTCTGTGAATGATTCTGTAGTGTGTAGAAGACATGGGTGAGGAATCTTTGGCCTTTCAGATGTTTTGGCCTACAACTCTCCTGTACCTTACTACAGTACTGGCCAATTTAAATCTAATGGACATTGTAGGTCAAAACCTCTAGAGGACCACCTGTTCCCCAACCTCTAGGTTTTTTTTTCTTATTCCCAGGTGTTCAAGGTAACAGCGTAAAAAGCTATTCTATTTTCCCTACCACAAAGAATGTGCAGGTGTTAATTGTTGTTAGCTTCTTTTAATAAAGATATAATACTCTGTTCTAAACAGAGATTAAGAATGCAATTCTATACATGTCTGCTTAAAAGTAAGTCCCATTGCATTCAGTGGGGCTTACTTCCAGGTACAGGAGTATAGAGGTGCAACCTGAAAAGTGGACATTTACTGTCCTGGCAATGTATAATTAGGGCCTGCTAATTAAATGTTTTTGATCCAGCAGAAGAGAGCAACTGAAAAGACAGCAGTGTTCTTGTTTCCAGCCTTTTACTTAATGAAATCACAGTCTATTCAGTGTATAGTCAGGCCCAGATCTGTTCAGTTTCTTAAATTTAATGGCTGGTCCACCTAAAAAAAATCTGGTGGAGCTTTATTTTCACATTGGGCTGAAGCCTTAATTATTCATGAGTGTGACTTTAGGATTTTTTAAATAATATATCTTTTGATAAGAATACAAAGCTCCTTGTAAGCAGTTAGCACTCACAATTCTCTTCCTGTAAAAGCAGGAAAAACCACTCTCAATGTATATCTACAGGTTTCCAAAGGAAACCATTTTTTCCAGCGCAGTTATCACCCTGCCCCTTTGGAGAGCTGTTGGACAGTAGTAAGATAGACATTTCAGGGGCGGGGCTGAGCACATCCCCATTATGCAGCATCCCACGGGAAGCTCTCCATTAATAGATCTATTACTGTTAGCTCCATAGCCCCGGCATCCAACAAGAGATTCCAGATTAAGCTCCTCAGGGAAGCCAGCTTGGAGCTAGTGTAGCTGCTTCCCCCCCCCCTGCCCCCAACACTGGTTTTGGCTGTTAGATGCAAAAGCAAGTCCCATTAGGCTAGAAGGCCTTCTGCACACACACACCATTCCTCTCCAGAGTCCGTGCCTTATTGGAAGTGACATCTGATTTCCCACTTTGCTTCCTGCCCCCCTCTTTCAGTTGTTCTGCCTAATGGAAGTAACCTTGCTTTCCCCATGTCTGTCATATGTTTGAGTTGTCAGTGTTTGAAAGTTAAAGTATTTGCAAGTTGTTTAAGTTCCTACTTCTTCAGCTGGTATCCTGTTTTACCAGTCTGAGCGGTTTGTCATCATTCTTCTTTGTCTTGCAGGTGGCTTCTGGCTTGGTATAGATCAAGAGGGAGCAGAAGGGACTCTGTCCTGGGCCGGCATAATTTTTGGTATCTTAGCTAGTCTCTGTGTTTCTCTGAATGCTATCTACACTAAGAAAGTCCTGCCTGCTGTGGATGGCAGCATCTGGCGCCTGACATTCTACAATAACATCAATGCCTGTGTATTGTTCCTGCCCCTCCTGTTGCTCTCCAATGAGTTCTATACCCTGTACCACTTTGATAAACTGGGAAATGTCAACTTTTGGGGTATGATGACCCTAAGTGGGCTGTTTGGCTTTGCCATTGGCTATGTGACAGGACTGCAAATAAAATTTACCAGCCCACTCACACACAACGTGTCTGGAACAGCAAAAGCGTGTGCTCAGACGGTACTGGCTGTCTGCTATTATGAAGAAACCAAGAGCTTCTTATGGTGGACTAGTAACATGATGGTTCTAGGTGGCTCCTTTGCCTACACTTGGGTGAAAGGGGTGGAGATGAAGAAAGTGCAGATGGAACCTCCTCCGAAAGCAAATGAGAAGAATGATGCTGGTGTCTAAATTCCTCCAGCCACTACCTTACTTTGCACATGTACTGCATCTGTGCAGGCACAGAGTGGTGTCTGACTGGGAAGAAAGCCAAGGGATAGAGACGTCAAGGTAGAAGAATCTTGCAGCAGCAAATATGTTGTAAGAGATGGAAATGGAAAGGCAAGCCATAGTCTTCTACACACACAGGGTGTTTGCTACATTAAGTATGGTGAAATGTTCACAAACTGTTTCCTATGAAGAAGTTGGTTGGTGAGGGTGGGTGTGTCGGTGAGGGTGGGTGAACTCAGCTACAGGCCTCTGTTGATTCCTGTGTTCCTGAAGAAATGGTCACTAGCTAGGCACTCATTTTTCCCCCTTGATAAAGAAGAGATCTATTAAAAACAATGAATAAGAGCCTTTAAAGAAGACAATCCTGGCTCTTCATGCCCTGAGTGGAGAATGGTCTCTCTCTGGATACATCTGTTTTTCTGCCTTCTCATTTTACAAAACACATTTGCAACTGAGTGTTCTGGCGAAGTGGAGGTGTGTATACTGAGCAATGAGTTCTTGCACAGCTAACAATGTCAAAAGTTGGTGAGCGGCTCTCCTGTCCCTGAAGGGCAAATTTGTATCAAGAAAGATAAGATTGCAACTCACTGTGCAGCAACAAGATGGGTTAATTTGGGCACACTGCAGTGTACACATCTGGTTAAGTGAGAGTTACAGAGCATTTTTGCCAGTGTCCTTTGTTTAACAAGTTTAAGGGGAATATCCTTCCTTTGCCCAAAAATTGTACTGAGAGTGATCATGTGATCACGATTTAAAATTCACTGAGAAAATCTTCTACCTTGGTACAATATACTGTCTTCTCCAGAGTGAGTAATGGAATAGACCTGTAGCCTGATTTGCATTTCATAGACTCTGAGGAAAATAAAATGGCTGCATGCCCTGGCTATTCAAAGGAGTAGAATTTTTTGTTATTGTTGTTAAATGTACACTCTCGGTTACTGAGTGAGGCTTTGTGGGCTCCAGGAGCCCAAATCTCTCTAGAATGTTTCAGTCCTTTTGCCTTGTTGCCTTTTGTATTTTTACTGTGGAGCCCATCCTTATCTTACATCTCTAGTTTTGCACTTGGAAATTAATCTTTCACTGATCTGTGATTTAATAAAGTTTTGATTTAGTATTTCTGGAGTGATTCTTTTAAAAATAAAAATTGCAATAAATTAAGTTGGATAGAGTCGGATACGACTAAACAACAAGTTGGATAGAGAATTCTGATGGCTAGCTGGAAAAAAAGTGAGGGAAACCTGATGGTTCACAACCTTAGGTCCCCAGATGTCCTTGGACCACAACTCTTGTAAATCCTGGCTAGCATAGCTAGTGGTGAAGGCTTCTGGAAGTTTAAATCCAATAATATCTGGTGATCCAAGGTTGGGAACTACTGTGAAAATAAAAAGCATAGATAGTTCCAAACAAAATCTTTTCAGCTGCCTCTAGAGTAGTTTTCAAATCCTGCTTTCTTCTATATTGCTGTTCTAGTAACATTAGTATATCAGCAATTGCATATGTCAAGTATTAATGGGTATCTACTTGTGGTGTATTTTCCAGGCTAGTCTCATTTACATACTGTAAACAGTATGTATACTGTAGTAACATTCTATGCACCATTGTCTTTTTGCATCTCTTAACTTTCTGAATGGGCTAGGCTTCCAAATTTATTCCTTTCAGAATGCAGATATCCAATCCACATTGGAGTTCAGGCAGTTAGTCAGTACAGTTGATAGTATTTCATGGAAGCCACAAAAACAGCTATTTCTAGATTTTCTTTAAAATTATGCAGATCCAATAGCATTCTTTGGAGTGGGAAGTAAACACAGAAGAACAGAACAATTTGCCAGTTCTTGCATGGAAATTTAAATAGTTGGGGAAAGTAGTAGGATGGAGAGAATGGAAATCAAATGGAACTCCCAAAGAAGGAACCCCAAGTTCAGTGGTTCTTAACCTTTGTTACTCCAGTGCTTTTGAACTGCAACTCCCAGAAACCCCAGTCAGGACAGCTGGTAGTGAAGGCTTCTGGGAGTTGCAGTCCAAAACTCCTGAGTAACCCAAGGTTAAGAACCAGTGCCCTAGTTGACCCAGAGCAAGCTAGATGTATGCTGGTGCTGAATGTAATTATAATTGAGGAGAAAGCACTTTGGGTTTTTTAAATCTTGACTGTGAACCATATGTAGTGGTATGATGCCAGCATCCATGTGAAGACTGAAACACATGAGACACCCTAAAGTCATAGGTTAAAACATCCAATCTTCTCAGAAGTCTTTCGACCGAGTTCAGCCAGGCTTATTGCCAGGGAGGTGTGCATGCACACACATGGTATGTGTGTATGTATGTGATCATAATTTGGGGGATTTTTCCAATGCTTCTGCCCCCCCCCTTCTTCCCTCTCTGTAATATCCTACTGAAGAAGAGTCTGGCAGGACTCAAAAATTAGTCTAACAAGAGTATCAGCCATCCTTATTTTTGGATTGCATACAAGGACCACACAGCTTTTTATCTCTTTCTTGTAGGTCTTTAAAAAAACTATTCATGAGATTATAAGAAAGTGGCAAATATCGGCAGTCTCATAAATGTGCCAACATAATGTGACACAAATCATTTGTACACAAAATAAACAACACAAGCCCTATTATACAGCTTCTGCAGAACCTATGCCTTCATTCTTTCATTCACATTAGTACACTGATATCCATGCCATGAATTTCTCATTTGCTTTTTATAGTTTGCTTCATTTAATACTTATATTCAGTGAAGAAAAGAACATCTTTAATATTATGTGTCCTATTATAGTAATTCACCAGAATCACCACAAAAATAAATATGTACTTCTGTGTTATTCTTGTGATATTTTATATTCATTTATGTCAATCTTTTTGTGGTATAGGTAGAGCTGCTCAGATCCTACAGAGGCAAATCTTAATTATATACATTGTTCTAGTACAGAGTGTTCTCACTGGCATGTACATAGACAAATGCTGGGAACGGCCTGTTTACTTGTGGAAAACCTGTCAGCAGCTTGCCTCCAAGCTGCAACCAAAACATCAAAATAGCCTGCAGGAACCCACTGAGTCACTCATATTGCATAGCTAGTGCTGTTTCCTCTGCTCCTTCACGGCCTTGCACCTAAACCATTTTGTGCTTAAGATGGGACACTCCCTTTTGTGGGGTTGAGCCTTGGCTGTTTGCCAGCCATTATCCACTACAGTCACCCTGGATCAGATTTTTATATTTTTGATTTAATAAGCTGCCCAGTTGCAAAATGGGGGCAGGCGTCTCTAGCTGAAGCTGGAAAGGTTGCTGCCTGCCTTGGATTTCCCAGAGGCAATGGAAGCACTTTGTTATTGGAAAAGCTCTGAGAGCCTTTTAAATAAGATGGGTGGAGGAAGAGGACGTGCTAAAAGAAAACACATATAAAGAACAAGTTGGGTAAACGTACCACTTTGGAGCAATTGGCAACAAAGAAAGCGTGTATTCCATATAAAGTCATAAACATGCTCAGAGCAAGAAAGCAAACAGAGACTAAATAACTATCCAATCAAAGATGGAAGCAATAAAACAAGTGTAGGACTGGCTAGCACCGCCATCATACCAGGAATCGAGAATGTGTGGCCCTCCGTATGATGTTGGGCTGCAATTTCTGCCATCCCTTACTATTGGGGGCATGCCGGGTAGGATTGATGGGGTCTGCAGCCCAACAACTTCTGGAGGGCCCAATGGACCCAACACTTGCAATAGGCAATGTGAAATGGCCACCTCAGGTAACATCAGCTTCACTGGCTGAGCTTTTCACATCACTCTGAGCCAATACCCTCACCAGGCAATGGCTGGATGGTTTTCCCCTTCATTTATTGTAACTTCAGATTCTTAAATTACCAGAGTTCTCTGGATTTATACAAGTAAACTGATAAATAATTCATACAAACAACAATGATGAAAACACATAAAACCAAGATAAACCATCAGGAACAGGGAAACAAGTACTAAACATAATACCAAAGAAAAGCGAGGAGCAAAATATCACAAATAACTCAATCTCATCACTAAAGATGCATAAATTGGCCATTGACTGAGCAAGAAGGCAGAGGCAGAGCATAGAAGAGTCGATCTTTTGGAGTTCATGTTTCAAAGTCCCCTCAGCCAACATGGCACCAGTTCCAGTAAGAATTTTGTGTATTTGTGTGCTGATGGCACCATTTCTGATTTGTTTGTTTGTTTAATATTTAATACTGCCTAACTTTGTGAGAACTCACTACTTTGAGCTGTATACAAATGAACAGTGACCCCTAACAACAATATAAAAAGACACAATATAGTTAAAAAGCAAATTATAACAAAATGGAACACAGCAAAAACAAGCAAAATCAAATAGCATCAGAAAGTAGGAAGTGAAAGAAAAAATAATAAATTCCTATCTTAGAGGCAAGATTTTTTGAAAGGCCTTTTTATAGAGTTCTGTTTTGTGAAGTTTTCTGAAAGCAAAGAGGGATGGGGCTCGGCAAACATCCAATGGTAAGGAAATCCAAAGGAACAGGCCCACCACTGAGATAGCCCAGTTCCTGGTTGGCAATCTAAGGAGCCAAGCCTCAGAGGAGCCAGTAATATAGGTCATAGTTCTTCAGGAGAGATAGTCCAGTGGATACCAAGAACCCAAACCACATGCATGGACAGTGAGCAGGTACTATGTGAAGGAGTGAGCAAGGGGCAATGAAGTATAAGAAGACAGGGCTGTATCTGTGCCAGCTCTGCTCTGCTCCAACCTAAGCCAATGCATCTCCCTCAGGTATGGTGGAAGAAGACAGAGTACTGTACTGCTGATGACACTGAAGGAATGTTTAACTTCAGCTAGCAGCACTTCACTTAAGTCTTCAGGTTCCTTGAAATCAGGAAGACACCCTTTCCTGTGTCTTTTAGAAGCAGCAAGCGAGTGTTCAAGCTGCTGAAAGCTTTGGTTGGCACTTGGAGGCAGCAATTCTTCCTATACAGCATTTACACGTGCAGAAGCCTTGCCAAAATTGAAACGGGCAACTCTAGCTCATGAAGGATATCTCTCAAGGCTGCTTCTTTGAATATTGCTCTTTTTCTCTTCCATTTCCTGTTGTTGCTGTGAGGCAAAGGAGTTGCTTCCTGCTTCAGCCAGCATTACTATAGGAACAGATTACAGGTTATCAAACCAAGGGCTTAGGTAACCTGTAATTCTGCTAACCAACCACAGAGATGGAAAAGTCCACTGGGACCAACCCTTGTCTTGTGTCAGGATCTTCTCCATATCACTTCTCACATTGGGAGAAGCTTAACATGTGTGTCATACGCATAAGAGAACAGGGAGCATCACATAATGCACATGTTAATAAAACTGGAAATGACAGCACTCCAAATCAGTCCCAGCAGCCCTGCCTTTCACAGCAGCTCAATGTGCAATCCATTCATTAGCAGGTAAAAATGTTTTGTCACTGCCTGCTGTGAACAGCTTCACCTGCTGTTCTTGCCAGTTGGCAACCCTATGCAGCAGGGCAAATAGAACTAATTGCCTCAAGTTAGCAGATATGTCAACAAGAGCATCCTGTTTAGACTGGAATGGGTGGCACTCAAATCCTAAATATACTCTGTCTGAAATCCTATGTACCTTCATCTGGGAGTAGTTCAAATTGAACTCAGTGGGATTTACTTCTGAGAAAACCTGTGTAAGATTGTATTGTCAAGGTTAAATTGCAAATAAAAAAATGGTAAACAGGTATATTTTGAGAACATTTGTTATTGTTTTGTTTGTATGCCTCATAATAATTATTGTGATAATAATTTTTTTAACATAAAGTGGAGGCCATCCGCCAGGACACCTCATCCATATCAGTAGATCGAGCCGAGACATCCTACGTATCCTCCTGCCCAGTAATTCTAACACAGTTTCAGCCCCTGACGTCAGCTGAGGTCTCCTTATCAGTAGATCGAGCCGAGACATCCTACATATCCTCTTGCCCAGTAATTCTAACAGTTTCAGCCCCTGACGTCAGCTGAGGTTCGGGGGGGGGGCTTGATCGCTGCAGGGCTACCACCTCCTTACTAGACCCTTGCCCGGCCTAGCTGTTGAAAGCAGCCAGATCATTAACAACTGAATGGGTTCGTTCGTTC